AGGCGGCTAAAGGACAAAATCAGACTTTGTTTATTAAAAAAATACTTTACAGGAAAAAAATTCTATGCATTCCGTTGGACTATTTTACAAAGAAATAGCTTAACAGTTTGACACTCGTGTACAGTCAGCTACTGACAGAAATGCACTGCGTTATTCACAGAGAGGTCCGAGCGCTCGCGGCCGCCCGGCTGTGGTCAAAACATCTTCGAAACACTCCCCAATGCTAATCTAAAAACCTCTTCGAAACACTCGCTAATGTCAATAAATATACTAAGGCCGCACAAAGCAAACAGTCTTCCAGGCAATTGTCCGCGTCCTCTGTAGGCAGAGACCTTAGATAAATTAAAATCACAGAAACCAAAAAATAAACCTTAGCTGCCGATCAAAATCAAATCGAAAACCTCACAAAAACAGCAACACTGAAGTCTCTTTACATGTTGTACAAAGAAAGCAAAGTGTATGTGTTCCGCCGAGCCCCGCGCAGCCCTCCTCAGCCCCCATGCCGCAGGTGCTGTGCCATGGGGGTGTCACACCAGGTGCGGTTTGGGGACAGAAACAAGCCGCCCCCCTCCTCTCGCACCCCTTGAGCAGGTTCCAACCTGCCAACACTTTGCACTCCCTGGAAGCTACAGTTCCAGAGCTTATTACTCGGTTGGTTGAGACCTGACGAGAGTAGGCAGGGCCAGATCAAGGGCCGGAGCTCATGCCCGTGGGAAAGCTCTGACAACCTGCCTTGTCCAGGGGAACCAAGCTGTAACAGGCAGGGAAGGTGAAGAGCACAGTAGAGAGCCCTTTTCTGTATGGCAAGATCTACACCTGTGAAAAATGGTGATTATAAATCCCCTGAGAACACTTCACCGAGTGTCCCACCTTCCTGGAAGAGAACGTGTCAAGGATCTGCACAAACTGACTTATGGCATGTCTAAAGGAGAGAGGAAAGGGAAGCCAACAGATATTTCGTCTTTAAACTGCGTTTTCTCAGCCCCCTTCTAGCCCTGCTGAGCCACTCGCCTTTATCCCAAGCGAGTTTTCACCAACAGCACTTTATCTCACAGCCTAAACCCCAGTTCACACATCAAAGCCAATGGATCTCTACACAGGGCACTTGGTCACTCAGCAGTTGTCTCCAGCATAAAGCAGGAGGGTTTCCCACTCCCCAGACTCACACACACATGCCAGGGCAAATACTCATACATGGAGAACTGAGGATTTACAGGATCCATGTTTACAAATTGTTCTGCATCTACCTGGGTACGACCAAGAACAACCCATGACATTTGCCAGAGTTTGATTATCTCGTTACACAGGCTGTTGTATGAAATCTTAGAGAACAGCCAGCTTTTCCACACCAGAGAGACCAGAAATATTTACTTGGACCTATCCAGAGATTTGTTCTGCTCAGCAAACACTAAATGGCTTGAACTCATTACTTCATTTCTAAACAGCTTATGAAAAACGGGTCTTGTTCTGGAAAACATCTGCATCTTTCACAGAGGCATTGTTCTAACTCTGCTCTGTTGGGTTTAGTGCAGTTGAAGTGATCTTGAAACAACAGCTGTCTAGCTGTAGTAATCAGCTTCACAAGCAATCCCTCTCATACTTTACACCCAGAACTGAGGTGGAGTTTGAAATGACATCTTGGTTAAAGTGTGCCAAAGCTGATAATGTAGTTAGGTAGTAGATTTTTATCGAGTTTCCTCCTCTCTTAAACACGCTAGAACAGCATCAGCAACAGTCAAGACATTTGAAGATATATTTCTGTATTTAAATCTGACATTAGATATTAAGTTAGTAATTAAATGGAACAGAAAGAGAGCACGATGCTATCAGTCATGTCCCTCCATCCAAAGAGGTAAGTCAGAGCATTTTCTTTTATTTCAGGCCGTAGTCAGAGATTTCACTAAACCTACAGTTTTGAAAGCAACATGAGCCACTCTAGTCTTCTTCCTTCATCCATTTGAACACATGCTGTAAGAGTTTACAGAGAACTTCCGAATCGATTCCCTCTCCGTTCTGTTTCAACTCATTACAAGACAGACAAGCTGGTGTATGGGGGCTCTTAATGTGTTTATTCTTCCTTTAAAGTGATGTTTGCAGACTCGCTGTGGGATCTGCAGCTGTGTCAGTTCCTGAGTGGTTGTATGCAGTGCTGGCTGTCAACGAACGGCCACCGAGTTGATGCACCTCTACTGACATGACCAAAGAATAGCACATGTGAGAAGTGAAATGGGCACTTGGAAGACTAGCAGACTTCATAAAAAGGAAAGAACACCCTTGGATAATATGATCTTTGAATGTGAAGGATGAACTGAAACTGCTATTGCCTGTGAGGAATTTTACTTTGCACAACCCTTAAAGCTATGAAATTCCTCTCAACATAAAAAGTGGAAAAAACCCACCAGAGAACAGACGGCTCGTTTATGAACCAGTCTGGGTCATCTAGAATTTCTGCTAAGATTAAATTACACCCCTGCATGAATCACATTACTTTTTATCATAAAAGCTCTCCATTCTAACACCTTATTTACACAGATTACTAAACAAGTCACTACCACTTCAATCTGTAAATTAGTCTTAAATTGAAATATTTCCTAGTCCTCATTTTGTACCGAAGACAATACATACATACACATAAGGAGTAATACAGGTTCTAACTAATCACTGCAGTATCTTCTGATGATTATTTTTCTATCAGTTTAAAATAGTGACCTCTACACTGAGGTGCTAATATGTATATAAAAGCCTACACAAACAATATTGCACAAAGTAAGATTTATAATAGAGTAACATATTTTAGAGACCCTTATAAAGAGAAGAGTAATAATTGATATTAAAAAGATGCATCCAGAACTAACACAGCATCTTCGCTTTTGACTAGTCTAACATAGTGTTTCAAATCTTTCCTACCCCAGTGAGGATTAGAACAAATAAAATTATCTGGAAACAGCTTAAGTTGCACCAAAACCCAACTTGTACTCTAAACGTGGGGAGAGAGAAGGGAGGGAAGAAAGGGACAGGACTTTTCCTTCTGATGACTGGAAAGGGTGGTAGTAAACGGAGTGAGTGAAAGTCAAATACAGATTACACGTTAACACCCAGAAATATTGAAAGATCAGTTAAAAACCATTGCTAGCTGACACTCTACACATTTAGCATGTGCCACTGATTTTTCCACAGTACCTGGGCATCCAGAAGCTACACATGGAAAAACCAGTCCAATGCCACAAGACTTTTTATTGTGAAAGAGTAATACAGGACTTCCTGGCATATGGACAGCTGCACTGTGTAAGTCAGTTACCAACTCAATGCTATTAAGTGCATCAGTACAAGGGAAAGTGTGGTTCCATTGGACACATTACGACCTGACCAAAACAAGCTGCCAAGTTGGTTAGTATTTTAAAGCCTTAAAGTGCTCGAAGATAGCAGTTTCCTCCACGAGACTACCAATAGGTTCTCTAATTTTGACACTAGTATTACTCATGTTCAGGGAAGATGTATTTTGGAAGCAAAACCCTCACACCAAACAACATAAGCAGTGCTATGAGAAGTGTTAGGTCAGTAAGTCATTGCATTTCAACAGGATCAGACACTTTCTTCAGTTAATTTTACTGTAAGAAATAAGAGATCAGTTTCTATAGCTTGTATATATAAACCCAACTCATATATAAACCAACATGTCAAGAACAGACATACCAAAAGTTTCACAAATCATCAAAAGTGCTGTGCTTGCTTTTTTTTTTTTTGTCTTTTTTTTTTTCTTTTTTTTTCTTTTTTTGTTGTTGGGTTGTTTTTTGTTTTTTAAGCAATTAAAATGAAATGGGAAAGTCACTTTGCAAGTCTACAAAAACATCCCTTTCTGGTGAAGATTAGAGCTAATGTAAAAGTAGGGAAATAACACTGACCAATGCAGTTTAATCGTTTCGTGTTCCTGGAGGAATTTCATTCTGACTTTGAGGAGATATTAGATATCTCTTCACTTAAACAGAAAGAAGTGGTAGACCACTGTTACAGGTTGTACTAAGGGGTTAAAATACAACTTGAATTTTGCATAATCTGTGTAAAAAAGATATGCTTGACATTTTGGAATGTCACCTTTCTTTATAGAATTATAGGCAAGATTTCTCCAATAAAACATAAGCCAGTTATAAAACTATAACTTCACATCAAAATTTTAAAAAGTTGTTAAAAAATGTTTGCTTATATACATATCACACAGCAGAGCCTGCATGATCCTGTGGATTGTGGTGCTGACCAGACTCTATTTTAAAACCTGGAAGGGGCTGGGCCACCTGATCTGGTTGCACAAGTCCTGATACTGAAGAAAGAGAGGAGGAGAGCACCCCTGGTGTAAGCTGCATTTTTATACCTGGTTCTTCAGACTCTGTTTTTACACTCACACATTGGGGTTCACCTTCTGCCTCTGGATTTCCAGGAACACTACTGTTCAAGCTTGAATTGCTTTCTGCATTTTGAGCAGTCTCCTCCACAGGATGATACTGTTTAAGTCTTATGTGCCAGGCTAAGCTGCAGACTGCCGACACTGTTTTGAACTGATGAATGACATTTCTAGGGATGAAGTAGATGTCATTGTCACACAACTGAATTCTAGCATAGCGAATGCCTTCCCGTCTCATTTGGTTTAGTTTGGCTTCATCCACCCATTGAACACACTGAGAGAAGGAAAATAGTAAAGTTAGTGGTATACTCTGTTTAAACAATTCAGTATCCACCTACTTTCAACACACTTCCTGTCTAAACCAATGTTTAACAGGTAAAACTTCAAACTTAAATGAGAATTGGACTTTAAATATATAGTTTGTCTAATGTGTACATCTTAAAGAGAGGACAGTGATCAGTTAAGAACATTCTACAGTTATAGCTGAAAATAGCAGGTTCAGCATGAGGCTGTTTTGGCTGACAGGACTGAGTTTAGATGCTGTCACATCCTAAACTTCACATCCTGAACCAACACCAGTATACCAGGAAAGGCAGAAACAGGGATACATGGCTCCTTAATCAACTACTAGTTGTTTCTACAGCAGGTATCAGGACTCTCAACTTGGTGGAAAGGAAAAGCAGCTGGACTCGATGATCACTGTGGGACCCTTCCAACTGAACTATTCTGTTCTGAAACACGAGAAGGGAAATCGCCCAGGAGAGCTGTGAACTGAGAGCCACCAAGGATACAACAGGGCTGGCTACACTGTGAACCTGAAAACTATCAGAAGCTACCACCAAAATGCTAAGAATGAGCTGAAGATTTGGTACCTGTGACACCGGAGGTTCATGCAGGTCCAACTGAAGTCTCTGCACAACGTCAGTGAAGTCTTCAGCATGAAAACAAACCACATCTTTGGTTATACGAGGCTGGTCACTCCTAAAAAAGATGAGAAATCCAGGAGTTTTTAAACAATTGGAGTTAAAAAATTACAGCTCTTTCCAGCAGAAAGTCACTGAACCAACTACCCACTTCAGTTTTACACTGCACACACAGTCTCATCACTTCTCAACACATGTATTACTTTAAAAAAGAGGTAATATTTTTTTTCCTTCATTTTACTTCTTTCTTGATACATGCACAAAAGAAGTGATGTTTTCATGGACAAATACTATACTAAAACATCTGAGAACTAGGTTCAACCTGCCAGTATCAAAGCTTTCTGGTTTGCCTCAATTCTTCCATTCTGTAATTAGACAGAATCATTCTGTCTTAAAGGAAAACAAAAAGTAACCAAGTAACTCTGAAGCCAAAGCAATGAGAAGCTGGGTGTTACTCAACAGCTTTGAATCAGAATAAAGGAAGTTTTGACACCTTTTATTGGCATCAAAATCTAATGATATTGCTAATGCTGCTATCCAATTTCTACTTGGAATTGCTAGAAAAAAAGATGATGCATATCTAGTTTCTGTGCAAGATGACCAGGAATGTCCTGGGTACATGAAAGGAGAATGCACTGTACCTCTGAAATGAGTTACACTGAGGTCTTCTATTGCTATTAAGGAAGTTGGCATTAATATATCTATTCAGGAAAAAAAAACAATCACAGATGATGGTCCAGAAACAGTATCTTAAAGGCTTATTTCATATATCACTAAAACGTTCTGCAAACTCCTGTTACAGCCTTTCTACTGTCTCAAGAAGAAGCGAAAAAATAATAGGTATATAGCTTGTGGGTTTCAAGCTCTAGACAGCACATCTCATCTCTTCACATTCACTGTAAACCGTTTCATTGATTAGGCTTATTTTCCAAGGAATTTTCTTTTTTCAAGAGACAAAAAACCCCTTTAGAATCACCCCCTCCTACAAGAACAGTTGCATTTCAGTGGCACTTACCATTCCCCAAACTGTACAGCCTTCAGAACACCGACAGCAGCTGTACTCTGCCAGTCAAACCCTTGGCCCACATGATCAGCGTGAGCTCTTGTTCTGTCTTCAAACAGAACCTCCCGGGGCTCACTGGTCCGAGGTAGGTACTGGAGATTCTTTATTTCATTCATTGACCTACCACATGAGGAAAAGACATACTAAAAATGTTTCAGGCTACTCAAAAGTAAGTATTTGTATTAAAATAATCTTAAGTCTTGTGTGCTGCAGGCTTCAAAATCAAAGACCAAAGTGCTTCCCTCCGATTTCTTCAAGGTGCTTGTTCGACAAAAGATTGGAACAAATACAGCGAAGTATAGTTCAGGTTATGAGATCAAACTTCTAATAGATACTGAAGTTTAGTTATTTGGGAGTAAGTCCTAAAATTCTGTTTGATATTACAATTAAAACATGCTTCCAATTCTTTATCTCCTAAAGTTTGTTCTACAGCACACTCTTTGAGGAAGACAGCAAGTACATATGTACCCCACAATATTTTCTGAGAAGGCAGACAGTATTTCAAGTGCTTTAGCATTAACATTGTAATGCAACACAAGCAGTGTAAGGATCTCTGCTCTTTTAGAGCATTTCGTCTGTCCTCACCACTAAATAAGTCCTTTCCACAGAAATAAGGTGAATAAAAGAAGTCTCCTGAAGGAAAATAAAAAGGAGTTTCAATCTTAAGAAAGCACTGATCTAGGATATAGTGGTGAAATAAAATAACCATCACAAGTAACATGTTTGTCTTATCCACTGAGCCAGTTTGAAACAGAAATGAAAATCAGATCTGTGAATTAACCTTCTGAAGAGCTAGCTACACATAAAGCATTTAGGTTTTGTTCTCAAATCTAACCCAGACATAACTCCAATGTTTTACCTTTAACATGGAAAGGAAAACAAAACATTACCGGCGCCGTTTGAATGGTGATTTTGGCATATCAGCTGTTGGGATCATCTGCTCCCCTGGTCTCACCCACATTATGGGACCATCATCGCTTTGTGACCTGCACTGAAGTCTGAGACTAGAAAGAGTCCCCCACGGCAAAGTCATCTAAAAGAAAACAAAAACAAAACAACCCACAAAACACACATAACACAAAACACTGGGTGAGATAGAAAAATTAAATGATGCCTTTGGTAAAACTGGTTCAAATTTGCTGTCAAAAGAATTGCACAGAAACTGAAATATATTCAAGCTGTAAAATGTATTCTAAGCTGACTTTATCAGACTTAGTTTTTAGGGAAGTAGATGATTATGCAGTACAGAAATATATGATTAACTGTTTATTTTTTTAATTTTTTGCACAACTGTTGCTACCTAATTCAGTGTCTTTCATTTGGACACAGGAAAGAACGTACCTTAGTAGCCCAAACAATAAGCACATCAGTAGAGAAAATACTTTATGGTTTCTGAGTACTTGGAAATAGATAAAACTCAGTAATTGCTTAAGCATCCCTAGAGCTCTGAACAAGACACCACAAGTTACTGCTTACTCTGAGAAATGGAGATTCTTCTAACATATCTAGGAATTCTGGGAAGTAGTCTCCAACTTCTTCATCCACTGCCCCAACAAGACTGATCTGCCGCATTGGTCCTGCTCGGTAGGTTCCACAGCAGTACGTTCGATTGACCTGAGTGGCCAGAAAGGAGAAGACAATGCCACCACAGCTTTAGTTCTGTCACAAGAGACTAAAATTGATTAATATAATACAGAAGGCCAGAGCTCAGATGAATCTTGGTCTCATCCACATCTATTTCATTAGAGATGCCTTTGGGAATATGCACTGAGCCCGTTTAGAACAGATGCCCATAGGGTATCCCAAGAGAAAAGAACTCCTGTCTAAATTTCTGATAGGAAATACTTCTGAAGTTTGAATAATAACAAGTTAGTATTTGACTAATTCAGGAACAATTCACTTCCAAGCTGACTTTAGAAAACCTCCCACGCAGTTTCATTGTGACTCAGTCTTTCAAGCAAGCTTCAAGTCTCCACTAATTTGTGCAGTTGACTGTTGCTTCTACATTTCAAACGGTGTGCTACTGAAACATGTGCATTCTTCTCTTCAGCAACATCCTAGAGGTCATTCCCCTGTGACTGCAGTGAAAAATCTCCATGTCAATCGAGCAATGGCTGTAGTGATATTGTTCTAGTGTATACACAAAATTGGTCCACAAATGGAGGAAATTAAAGGTCTAGGTAGAAATCCAGTGGTCATGCACAAGTTGAAAACTACCCTTTGCAGTATAATCTGCTGCCACTTCTGTGGCCAGAAACACTGTGCTCTCACTCACAGCTTTTTGACATCCTCTGCAGCACAAGCTGTCCCACTTTCCCAGGTCACCTGGAAACTTTTCTTGCCCATTTCCTGTTCCCAGAAGAGAACCACTGGCACCACTCCAGTGTTCTCTAGTCCCCTCGTATGGATTGCAGCTATGACACACCACACAGCCAGAGCAGGTTGTGTGTAGATGCAGCAGCTATTCAATCTTAAACAATCAGAAATCCTGCTGTAATTAGCCTGGTTTGTATACTTGGGTGTATTTAAGCTCCAACCTTCCATCACTCTTCAACAACCTCTCTACATTCATCAAGCAGTTCCAGTGGTGAAAAGATACGGCACATCTCTGTGGCTAAAGGGGTGGGACAGGCACAGAGGACAGAGGGTTACTGGTAAATTTGCAATTTTATAGTCATTTATAGATATATTTACAAAGCAGCTTAGTTTTAAGGTTTTTAGTTTTAAGTTCTGCAGTTTAGCTAACAAGCCAGATGTAGCTGAACTACTCCATGAAGCTGTTAAAGGTAAATTAGGAGAGACTAATAAGGCAAGAGTTACAGTTACTGTTGCAGTATTTTCCTCTAGCAGCAACCATAGATATTTAGCTACTTAATTACAGGAGTTCAGCTCACTCCTATTTCCAGAGTTCTCCTTTCTTTAGCTTTGTATATAAAAAGTTGGCAGTTCTGCATTGACTGCACACACATTTTAATTAAAAGCTAGGAAGGAGCCAAAGATGACTTCACATACAGCTTTATTGCTCAGCTGTAAGCCAAATACTGCACTGCATCACCTCTGCCTTCATGTGCTGAAGTTTACATCCCATGTCACTCTCAGAACTGCATTGGGCAGCTCAAGCATTCTACAAGTCCATCATGACCAGCAGCAGCTGCCGGATGAGCACATACAGACTTTCTGGGTTTGGCCATACAGATTTATGAGCCAAGCACTTCCTTCAGAGGCTGTTAATTCTTTTTGGCTGTTGCCCTAGGAGAAAGTCTACAAATCCTATTAAGAGCATTACTGGTGAAGGGTCATATCTAACATCAGTAAAGTGGAATGATTTTTACTGTGAGGGTGGTGAAGCACTGGCAAAGGATGACCAAAGTGGTAAATGTTCCATCCTTGGCAGTGCTCAAGGCCAGGTTGAATAGAGCCTTGGGAAACATGGCAGAGGGTTGGAGCTGGATGATCTTAAGATCCTTTCCAACCCAAACTATTCTGTGATTTAACTGGCTAGCCAGAATGCAATCCAGAACACTGGAAAACTGCATTAATTTGGAAATTAATGGGAAACTACAGCATTAATCTATGCACCTATGGGAGAACTAAGGCCTGAAATACTCTGGTCCTATTTAATACCTGGCGCTACTAAAGTGGAGATAGACTACTTCCAGATGCAATTAGCTTCCTTGAAGCCACCTGTTGAGAGGCACTAGTATTTCATAGGTGTCTGTCACAAGTTAAATGTATTATAACACCACACACAGGTTTTCCTTGTGATTTTTTCCACAGGGAATAAAAACTAGAAGCTTCAGCATTATTTTAATGCACTGAAATGAAATACAAAAATAAAATTCAAAAACTAGAAAAAGAAACACTAGAAGTACTTTAAGGAAAACTTGGATTTCAGTGTTTTGCTAGTTTTTATTAGAACTTCAACATATGGACTACACTTGAGAATATGTTTACACTGAGAATATGTATCAACTCATGGCAACCCACAGCAGGCTGTAGCATTCAGCTCAAGCACCTCAATCACAGGGGAAGTAGTCTACTAGATTATATGCTGTAAAATACTCCTTCACAGGGAGTTTCTATCTCATCCTTAATTCCTCCAGCACAGCAAAAATACTAATAACCATTAGTTAGGTTAGTGGTCTCAAGAATAAGGAGTATGCCAAGACCTTGTGTGCAATAACAAGCATTTCCATGCCAAGAACATGCATCTACTCATGGGACACTAAACTGCCCACCCATAAAGGAAAAGCAAGTAACCTGCTCACTGCACGTTCTTAGAAGCTGCTTTGACATGTCATTCACAGAGTGCTGCAACAGCTATATTTATAGTTCACACCCATCTTCATGCACCCCTGTTTTCAGTGAAGATAGATGAGACGATGAAAAACCTGACGTCACTTTGTTCTATCCACTAGGACCTTTCTCAAAGTTTTGGGTTTGTTTGGTTGGCTTTTTAGGGTTTGGTTTTTTGTTTAAAGTCCAATTCCTGTTTAGGAGCTGGATCATTCCAGTTCTTATGGCTGTCAGAAGTTGGTAACTTATTACTACACCACCTTCATTGCTCTCCTCTGTTCACTATACTTCTTAAAAAGATTAGTGGATCATACGAGTACTAACTGCCACTGTCTACAGATCAGATCATACAGATCTTTCCTGTTGTAAAAGGACCATCAGGCTGGTGAGACCACTCAGGTGTCTTGTGCCCTTTCAAAATGCCAGACAGCTATCACCACCCTGTGTACCCCCTACTCCATACAGGATCACACTAAAAGTTATAGGCGTATTTGAAATTAGTTCTTCAGTGTTCATGGAGACATCTTATAGCAGCTGAATGATGTACCTATCAGTGCTTCACACACAAGAGTGAGAACAAAGTATGCAGCGTCAGTGGTTCCCATAGAAGTTACAGAGCTGGTATTTGCACATTACTGAGATAATTCAAACCCTCTCTCATGAAGGGGTGGGCAAGCAAGCAGTACCCTTGTACTACATTACAGAGGTAGGGGAAACAAACACACAGAAT